CGAAAACAGGTAGCTAACATACTGCGCAGGCGTGAAACATGTCGATTTGGTGACTATGAAAATTTGATTAATAACAGTTAGTTTTTTAGCTAAATGTTGAGATAATTTTATGAATAATTTGAAACAACATTTGTCCGACAAAATAAAGGGTTTGGTCTACGATGTCCCCCCCCTCGAACATGTAGCAATTACGTTGCATAAAAAATGATTGATAACAAGTTGATTTTTTCAATGTAGGTTGGCGAATATTATTACAATTAAATTTTCACACTGTCCTACAAATAAACAGGTAGCTATTTTCAGTCCTACACTCAAAAGTTGTCGATTTCACGATTTAACTTTTTTCATTAATAACCGGCTAAATCTTCGTGAGCATTTTCATTTTGATAAGACGCCCAAATTTTCTTTTGCGAAAATTCCAAAAACAGGTAGCTAACAGAGTGCGCAGGTTAAAAACATGTCTATTTCGTGATTATACAAATGCAAATAATAACGGTTAATTTTGTAGCTAAATGTTGAGATAGTTTCATAAATAATATGAAATAACATTTGTCCGATAAAATAAATGGTTTGATCTAGGCTGTCCCCCTTCTCAAACATGTAGCAGATACGTTACATAAAAAATGCTTTATAACCAGTTGATTTTTTTAATGTAGCTTAGTAAATATTACTACAATTAAATGGTTACACTACACTGTCCTACAAATAAAGAGGTAAATTTCTCCAGTCCTACACTCAAAAGTTGTCGACTTCACGGCAATACTTTATTCATTAATCACCGACCGGCTAAATCTTCTCGAGCATCTTCGTATTGATAATACGCCTAACTTTTCTATTGCGAAAAGTTGCAAAAGTAGTAGCTACTAGAGTGAGCACTAGTGAACAGATGTAAAATACCTTGATTAGGTGATTATGCAAATGTAATTATTAACAGTTAACAGTTAATTTTTCAGGTGAATAATGAGATAATTTTATAAATAATTCGAAATTCGATTTGAGGCACAAAATAAATGGTTTGGTCTGCAGTGTCCCCTTTCTCAAAAATGTAGCAATTACTGGCTCATAAAAAACGATTTATAACCAGCTGATTTTTTACTACTAAATATAACTACAATTACACATTGTCCTAAAGAGGTAAGATTCCTCAGCCCTACATTCGAGAATTTCGAAAATAGCCTTATGCATATTATACGTAAATATGTACAGGGCTTTCATTTCAAAACTTGCCACTCACGTTATCTGCGTAAAGAGACAAATTTCTAGAAAAAAAGTATAAATTCAAGAATTTTACCTTTTGTATTTTTAAAAATATATTCATTAAAATATTTGAATTGAATTGAATTGAATAATTACATTTGCATAATCACCTAATCAAGGTATTTTACATCTGCTCACTAGTGCTTACTTTCTACTTTTGCAACTTTTCGCAATAGAAAAGTTAGGCGTATTATCAATAGGAAGATGCTCGAGAAGATTTAGCCGGTGATTGATGAATGAAGTATTACCGTGAAGTTGACAACTTTTGAGTGTAGGACTGGAGAAATGTACCTCTTTATTTGTAGGACAGTGTAACCATTTATTTATTTATTTATTTATTTATTTACTTATTCAATGAGATATCAACAGCAAATTGCCAATTACAGATACCTGTATGCTTAAAATTAATCTTATAGAAAATATATTAAACAGATAGTCTAAATACAAATGTCAAAATACATACTACCTAACAAAAATTGGTTCTAAGAAGAAGACAAATAATTTAAGCTACGTATAGATAAAATCGGATAACATGATAAAATAAAGACATTATAACTATTAAATATAAAATATAAAATATATGATGCGGTAAGTACAAACAGGTATACAGACCACAGATTACAGCAAATTTAAAATAGAAAATCTAATAAAATTAACTATTGATAAAATTTATACTACGATCCGGCCACTACCCAAAATTAACTCTGGCGCAATTTTTTGTCAATTAAGTTTTTAAATGTTTTAAAGTTTATCAGGTCTATGTCTATGTCAGATGCATACAAATTAAAAAGATTGCAAAGACCATAAATGGGGGAGCTTTTAAATAGGTTGGTTCGTGGAAAAGCTAGGTAGAAGATATTTGTGGTTCTAGAATTACAACGATTTACAGAAAATGGTAATTGTTCAAGGATATCAGGGCAGTCGATGTCACCCTTCAGAATTTTAAACATAGTACATAAGAAAATCTTCACACGTCTCTTACCCAAAGATAGTCTATTGAAAACTCCTAAGAGGAAGCCATTATCACAACCCCTCTGAGGGTAGACTCCAAACCTTCTGTAATACATAGTCTTTAAAAATTTTCTTTGCACTCCCTCAATAATATTTATCCATACGTTATATTGGGGCGACCATATCAAGCACCCATACTCCAAGATAGGCAACACCAGACTATCAAATAAATGAAGGCTTACATCAACCCTAAAAGTCTTAGTATTGCGTGCTATAAAACCTGCTATCCTCTGTGCGCTCTGTATCTTTGTTATAATGTGTTCAGAGAATGAAAGACTGCTGTCAAAAATGACTCCCAAGTCCTTCTGCTTACTAACTTTATCAAGTTTTTCGCCACTCATGGTATAATTAAAATCTATTGGTTTCTTATTAAGTGTAAAAGACATACAAGCACACTTGCTTGAATTTAACTTAAAACTATTTTCTTGACACCAATTAACAACATTAGAAAATTCGTTTTGTAACAATTCACAATCAATAGAAGAAATAATCTCCAAAAAAAGTTTAAAATCATCGGCAAACAAAAGAGCCATACTGCCCTTAACATTGCTGAGAATGCTGTTTATAACAATTATAAAAAGTAATGGTCCCAAATTAGATCCCTGGGGTACTCCCGACGTACTCTGGTATAGAACAGACTTACAGCCTTTAATCTCAACATATTGAAATCTGCCAGTTAAGTATGAACTTGTAAGTTTAATTAAAAATGGAGAAACTTCCATGTCAGACAAGGCATTTATTATCCCACAGTGACTAACTCTATCAAATGCCTTCTCCATGTCTGTATAAATTACGTCAACTTGAGTTTTGTTGTTTAAGGCATTATGGATATATTGTGAAAAACATGCCAGATTTGTAAATGTTGACTTCTTTGGCAAAAAACCATGCTGATTGGGGGAAAGTTTTGCTGCAACTTCGTTATACAAAATCTCAAAAATTATGACCTCAAATATTTTAGATACAGCGCACACAATAGATATAGGGCGGTAGTTTCTAATGTCTTGCCTTATGCCATTCTTATAAATTGGTATGACCTTGGCTACCTTCCATTTATCAGGATATATTGAGGTTTTGATGACCAAATTAAATAAAAACTGAAGGGGGCTCAATAAATGCTCAGCACAACCTTTAAAAATATAGGCCGGAACACCATCAGGTCCGATTGCCTTGTTAGGTTTAATTTTCTTCAAGGCATTTTCAATGTCCGCCTTTGTAATTAATTTTTCACAAAAATGAGACTGCACTTTAGTTGAGCGACAATTGACTTGTCCAATATCCACATAAACTGACTTAAAAAAGCCAGCAAACCCATCTGCCACGTTCTGAGTGCCTGAGTAAATATTATTATCTAAATTCTTCATTTAATTGTAGTAATATTTACTAAGCTACATTAAAAAAATCAACTGGTTATAAATCATTTTTTATATAACGTATCTGCTACATGTTTGAGAAGGGAGACAGCCTAGATCAAACCATTTATTTTGTCGGACAAATGTTGTTTCATATTAGTTATGAAACTATCTCAACATTTCGCTACAAAATTAACTGTTATTATTTACATTTGTATGATCACCAAATAGACATGTTTTCCCCCTGCGCACTCTGTTAGCTACCTGTTTTTGGAATTTTGGCAAAAGAAAATTTGGGCGTCTTATCAAAATGAAGATGCTCACGAAGATTTAGTCGGTTATTAATGAAAAAAGTTAAATCGTGAAATCGACAACTTTTGAGTGTAGGACTGAAAATAGCTACCTGTTTATTTGTAGGACAGTGTGACCATTTAATTGTAATAATATTTACCAACCTACATTGAAAAAATCAACTTGTTATTAATCATTTTTTATGCAACGTAATTGCTACATGTTTGAGGGGGGGGGACATCGTAGACCAAACCCTTCATTTTGTCGGGCAAAGGTTGTTTCAAATTATTCATACAATTATCTCAACATTTAGCTAAAAAACTAACTGTTATTGATTAAATTTTTATAGTCACCAAATCGACATGTTTTACACCTGCGCAGTATGTTAGCTACCTGTTTTCGCAATTTTCATTGAGAAAAAAGTTGGGCCTCTCGGTGAAATGAAACTGCATTGAAAAAACTAGCTTGTTATTAATGATTTGAAAAAAAGGTCCTCGGCCCCCGGACTATTAGTGAAGACGTAGTCTCATTTTTTCTTTTATAGTTAATTTTTTGGATATTTCCCTTTTTTATTCAGGTTACATTCCAAAATCCTTTACCTTTTCAGCAGACCGTATGAGTTTTGTTGCTCATTTAAATTTTATATTTTACGCGGATAAATAAAGCACATTGGTTGACAACACAACCGTCCTGCCACCGAGGTCAGCTTTAACACTCACTGGAGTGGGGAAGAGCATTCAGTCATAAGAAATCAATAAACCGCACCGATCGTACCTCGTACCTAAAGTAAAATTGAAACCCTTTGAAAGTTGGGTCTGTGCCAGATGTTGGACCACATGCCAAATTTGGAAGAAACGACGGAAATAAGCAAGCGCACGCCAGCAACCCTCCCTTTCAGATCAGGTGAGTGCCGAATTATCCCTTTCCTCCCATCAGCGTTACGTTATTTTTATTGTTGCCTTCAAAAGCGAAAAAACGACTCCTACAGTCCTAAAGGTCCTTCGAAAATTTTAAACGAGATAATACCTGAAGGGTCTGGTCCCATAACATGCTTGTTTCAAGGAAACTAAAAAGAAAAGTTGAAAACAAACCTTAATCTGCGTACGTTTTCATTTATTAAAGCAAATGACCAGTGTACATGGAAAAAGTTATAAATTTACACAAAGTACAAATATTACTTTAAACCTATTTTATACACTTCTTAACGTTACACTTAAATGATGTAAATGGCACTTGAATTGGTATTGCATAGCCAAAAAATACCTACATGCAGAAATAAAAATTAATTGTGACATTTATTCAATAAATTATTTAATAAGTTGAAAATAAATTGAAGAACTTATTTAATAATAGGTACAATAATAATTTAAGGAGGTTTGTACAAATATTACCGCGTTTGTCATTGTTTAACAGTCCAAACTAAAAAAAAAAATATTGCACCATAACCCAAAAAGGAATGTCTATAAATTTTGTATTTAATACTTTCATTCAGTCATAATATTAGTATGATACATTTACACTCGAATTTAAATAAATAAAAATCAAGATTATAGATAACCAGGAATAATAAAACAGAGACCTCAAAAAGGTTGGAAAATATTCAATGAAAAATCAGGTGATTATTTATCAAGTAAACGATTTTATAAACTAATTTCGATGTATAGTGGGCAGCCCAAAATATCAAGTGATTTTCAACGTTTCAATTCCATTCTTGGATTCTAGGTACAAATCTGATCGTATTTCATATGTGGGTAGCATAATTAAGTACCTCGATAAGTAATAAATTTATTCCAACCTTTTCAAGTTCACTGTATTAAAAATTTGATGTACCTAAATAATAATTCCATGATTTATGCTAATACACATCACTATAACTGGAGTCATCTAAGGCCTAAACCGGTACACTGGCAAACTTCAAAGCAAATCCTCCATAATGACACACTTGTAAATGTGTACCTATTGGCCCTGGCCACCTTACATGAATCCAGTCATAATACTTATCAATAGCAACTTTTTAGTATTAGATGAATGAATATAAATGTAGCTCTAAAGGAATTTGGAATGTTATACACTAAAACATAAAAATCAAATAAGTAGATAAAATATGAAAATAAACAAAATAGTTATTATTGCCTGTTAGCACTGTCCATGTTGGGTATATAGTCTAGAGCCATCAGACAAGCAAATACTGTCATAATCATTTTTGGTTTCACCTCTGTAATGTCTTCCGGTAAAGCATAAACTCTAGCTCCTGCTTTACGCGACATTGAAATGGCGTATTTGGCATTTGCCAAGTTTTCCTCTTCAGTTCCCCCAGTTTTAACTAAATCATAGTTAATAGCTCCTGGTCTGATGGCATCAATAAGATCAATAACAACTTTTGCGTCTGCAATTGTTGGATCTTGGAAACTTCTAATGGAAGACTTTTTGCCAGCAGAAGAAAGCTTGGTATTAACCCAAACAACGATTTCTTTCTCTACAATCGGACTTCCGGATTCGTGCAATTGGGACAAGATTGACAAGGTATATGCTCGCATTAATTGCCAAATAAGAGCCAAAGTAAGAGTTACATTTCCTTCGTTGATATCTTGACCGCCAATACCAACCAAAGAGAATTTTACTTGTCTGCCTATTTCCACGGCATAGTTGCAGTTTTCCAGCTTCTCCATAAACTTTTTTCTTTCGTTTGCGAATTTTCTGTGAACTCTGGACCAGTTGACAACACCTGGTTTGATGATATCATATAACTGGAAGACAACTAGTCCATCTGCCAAATCAGAGTAGAGCCAGTTTACGTGAGGAGAAACTCCCATGGAATTGATCCAGTTTCTGTATGCTGTAAAAAAAAAAAAAATTTAATAGCAATTTTTATTAAACCATGAATTGTGTAGGTATTAAGTAGATAAGTTGTTGTAAATAAATGCTTTTACTTCTAAGATTTCAATTCAAGAAGGGTACATTTAGCATTAACAAATATAGCCCGCCCTATGCACGGAAAAACCCTTTGCTGTTCTCTACCGTGTACAGGTGGTCCAAATTGGACACTTTCTTATGGAAACACGCTTTATTTCTAGAGATAGAAAATAACTGACCCACCACTCTGAGGCTCATATTTCATGAAATCATGATTGGTGTAAACCGCATTTTGATATCTACAAGCGTTTAGCCGCTAGAGGGCGATTCTCGATTTTAAGCAATACTGTGAAACTGTCATGACTTTTTTGTTTATGATTTCGAGATATTGACCAAAATCTGATGTTTTCCAGTTGAACACCCTTATGCAGGGTGGTCCATTTAACTTGAGACAGTCTTAATATCTCGAAAACGGTGCGTTTTTGAAAAAAAAAGTTTAAACAAAAGTTACATGGTATCATGGGGGAAACAAAATGGCGGTACTAATTTTTGACATTGACAACATTTTCAAAGTTATTTCAAGATCAACTCTTTTTTTTCCATTGGAAACGTATTTTTTTTTATTATAGAATCTTATTCTACAGAAAAAAACTTGAAGCATTTTTTGATCCGGTTTCAATTTAAGCTGATAAAAAAGAACGAATCAATTTTTTAAATTTTCCTCCTCACAAAATCTAAAAGTAGAGAAAGGTTACCATAGTAAAAAACTAGCTCAAAAACTATAACAATTGTTCAAAGTGATATTCGCCATTCGCCAACTTCAACACACTTGTCAATTCGCTGTAAAAAGCTTTCATGGCACCAAATTAGAGTTTCTTTACTGACAGCTCTAAGCATTTCTTATGCGTTCCATCATATTTCTGGTGTTGTGGGAACCTCTGGATAAACTGTCTGATTTTTAAAGTGAATTGACAAGTGTGTTGAAGTTGGCGGTCGTCATTTTGAACAATTGTTATAGTTTTTGAGATATTTTTTTAATATGGTAAAAAAAAAATCAAAGATTCATTCTTTTTTATCAGCTTAAATTGAAACCGGATCGAAAAATGCTTCAAGTAAAAATTACTTGTTTTTTCCGTAGAATAAGATTCTGCAATAAAAAAATACATTTCCGTTGAAAAAAAAGTGTTTTTTTTTTTTTTTTTTTTTTTTTTTTTTTTTCTGCTTTCTTGTCAGAAACCACCACTGTGGTTTGTCGACAAAGCCTCCAACATCACACACAAACCAAATCAAACAAACAAACAAACATCCATGCACCTAGCCGGGATTCGAACCCGAGACCCACTGCATGCAAAGCGAAAACACAACCGCTGAGCTGCTTGGGTCTGCAATCGGACTTTTGTTGACCTTGAAATAACCTTGAAAACGTTCTCAAAGACAAAAATCAGTGCCGCCATTTTGTTTCCCCCATGATACCATGTAACTTTTGTTTGAACTTTTTTTTTCCAAAAACGCACCAAAACGCACCGTTTTCGAGATATTCGACTGTCTCAAGTTAAATGGACCACCCTGTATATTAATAGCTTATTGGAAAGATGTGCTTTTGCTGATTTCAATGATATAAAGTTCGATAACTTTATCCCCAACAGTTTTCGAGAAAAAAAATTATTTCTGTTTTTGTCATAAAAAACAATGTGTTATGTCCATTTTTTTCTATCTCCAAAGATAAATAGGTTGTGTTTCCATAAGAAAGTGTCCAATTTGGACCACCCTATACAAGCTTAAGATATTTCAGACAAGAAAAGTATTAACATTATTAGCTGATACACGTACTGACATTCAGATCCTCTGTTTAGGGAAAATTTCTATTCCGACATAATGAAAAATCACGTTTGAAATCAGTTTGTGAACAGTTAAAAGTAAAAGTAAGCTAGAAGTAAGCTAGAAGAAAGTGTGTATCAGCCAAATGGAATATGTATATTCGAAAATAAATAAATCGGGGTTTTTTCGAAAAAAACATGACAGGTAATCCAGTTTTAATAAAGAAGTTGAAGGCGTTTCCGGTAAAACCGAAAGCGAGTTTGTATGCTGAAAATCTGCATCGATATCTACAATATATATCCCCACTATTTCAAATCGATTTCCATGCCTGAGTTCTCAAAGGGTATTAATAACTGTGGAAAAAATAATTGCTGGTGAGGGCCAAATCACAAAAAAGGAGTTACTACAAGTTCAAGACCTACTAGAAGGGAAAATTGTTGAACTCATCAATAATAAATTAAAGACTGGTATGTTTCCAGCAGAGTTCAAGAATGCCAAAATAACTCCTATATATCAAAAAGGGTCACATAAAAATACAACAAACTCAGAGGCCCAATTCTTGAATAATCTCGCATACGAAATTTGATTTGATTTCGAATGGTTCCTATTTAATTTACGTTGCTGTCATTCCAATTCGAATCCAATTATGTGTGCGAGAATATTGAAGAATTGACCTCAAGGCCTATATCTGTATTGTGTATATTCTCCAAAATTGCAGAAAAAATAATAAAAACTTGCATAGTTAAATTTATAAATAATACACCTGGTATGGACAAATATCAATATGGTTTCCAGAAACAGAGCAGCACCCTAGGAGCGACGGCTGATCTGCATGAATATGTATCATCTGAAATTGATGAAAATAAATATGTGCTCACTATATTTGTGGATCTCCAAAAAGCCTTCGACACGGTTGATGTAGATATTCTTCAAGAGAAACTGGAAAAATGGGCTCCAGGGGTGTCGGATATATGCCAATGCGAGCGCTATCAAGATCATATTCTAAGCATCACAAAGATTACAATGAAATTAACAAAATCAAGAGCTACAAAGCTGAATTGAAGGTCGGAATTGCCCAAGGTTTCGTACTTGGTCCACTGCAATATTTATTATATGTCAAAAATTTCAAATATGCGGGTCTGAAAGTAAAGTACTACATGTTTGCAGATGATACAGGTCGAGTGTTAACTGCAGATGATCCCAAGGAACTCGAAAATCTAGCAAACCGAGATTTGAACCTATATTTTAGGTGATTGTGTAAAAACAAGTTATCAATAAATATGTATAACTAAAATGGTGTACCTATATGGTTATGAAACAAAAAAACAAACCAAACTGTGTACCTAGGACTTGTGTTATAAAATAATTTGAGCTGGAATCTGCATGATGAAAGTATCAATAAAAAAATTGTGCCTTTTGTTAGAGCTCTTAAGAGGTGTGCTGCAAGTTTGAGTAAAAATACTAGAAACTCGTTATACACCTAATTTATGGTACCACATATCAGGTACATACCTATCTTCTACCAAGTTGGCGTAATTTGCCAAAAAACTACAAAGAGTGCAAAATAAGGCTATAAAGACTATTCACCAAATTGAATATTGTACTCCAACAGAACAGTTGTATGAACAAACAAAAATATGGGACCTAAATAAAATTGAAATATGAACAAACTAAATTTATCTACCTTATAAACAATCACTTATTAAAATCATAACTAACTACAAAGCAAGTAATACAATGTCATAGACATAATGTAAGAAGTGCAACGAGTTTAAGAAATGAGTTTTCAAAGACACGAACAGCGCAAAGTTCACCCTTATATGGAAGTATACAAACGTACAATATCTAAACTAATGTAAGAAATATATTTTTTTTATTTTAAATAAGTTACTAGAATATTGATACTTTATTTTGTTAATTACATTAATTATTTACTTTTCTAGGCCCTAATATCAGTAAGCTTGATAACTGTTTCAGGGTCAGTAATAAATTTAAAAAAAAAGTTCATAGTCTCAAAGAAAAGCAAAGGTTGTTTATTAAATTGCAATTTATATAAGCATTCTAAAGTGAGTCGAATGCTAATATCAAGGCTAGAATGGGCATTGCTATAAATACACATTCTTAATATAAACAAGGATGCTTTTGTCAATAATTCTTTTGGGTTAGTTAGCTTAACAATTATTTTAGGCTACTCTAAAGTGCTAAAGCTTACTTCTTTCTTCTCTCGTCTCTTCAATAGTCTCATACCCATCAATGGCACCATTCGTCTGCTCCAAGCCTGGATGGTTATTGAATAGATTGGCTACAAAAGCCAAGTTGAGCTTGTAGACTCCATTGACAACATCCTGTGGCGTAACGAAAGATCTACATTTCAACTTGGCAGCTTGTTGAAGCATAATTTCAGCTCTTTCGTGTAAATCCTTTTCACTTAAGGCACTTATGTCAACTTCAGCGTCAGCAGGGGCAATTTGTTTGAGTAGATATGTATATACTTCTGAGTCAGTGATATCACTTTGGAAGTTATTGACACGTCTATGGGTACCTGATAAAAGAAAGAAAATATTGCAGAACACAAAGATAACATTTTGAAACAGCAAAATAAAACATTTCTACAAAATAGGCCACAACTTTGCATATTTCTTCCGTCATTCTGTTGAGGAAGATTGGAAGTTCGACCTGACTTTGACGTTTCAATGCATTGCCAAACCTTTCTTCAATTTATCTGTAGATTCTATCCAATCAGCTATGAACATCCACCTCTAGGCATATGCCTTCCTGTCATTTTTACATGCCTATCTATCATGGTATCATGGGCGATCTGCATCCGTCTTGGCCCAGCGTGTTTCTGCAGATCACCTGCCCCTCACATTTGTGGTGCTCCTCTGTATCACATATTATGCCATAGCAAAGATAATCCTACTCCGAAGTAGGATTATCTTTGGCCATAGTCTCCAATGTTTAATAATTGTATTCAATTTTGACACAGGGTATGACCAGCAGAATCCCATTTCAGTTTTGATGTTTGTGTGAAGATATCTCCTATTATTTTCCTTGGTTCTTTAATGGCCATTTCCACCAACTATTTTAGGGAAGCCTTAACGATAAGTATTCCCTAAACTGACAGTTTTCAATGGAGAAATGTCAGTTTAGGGAATACTTATCGTTAGGGCTTCCCTAAAATAGTTGGTGGAAACGGCCATAAGTGTCCTTCTTGGTATCCGTTTCTCTATTTTTTCCTTACATCTATGAATTCCTTGTTTCATTTTTTTTGTGTGTAGTTACGGGGTAGTTACTGAATATTTTCCATTATCTTTTTCAAAAACTAATTTATTTTTATTTTAGTCATTTATTTCAAAGGATTGACCATTAACATTTTCAACTATTTTATAATTAATGTAAAACAATAACATATGTACAGGGTGGCCCGTTTATTTTGTCCTATCTCGGTACATGGAAATCTAGATATTTTATGACAAAAAGTTGAATACAAAAGTTGTAGGGTTTAAATCATTGATTTGTTTTTTTATATTTGCGCATATACAGGAGGTGTCAAAAAAGTGTGACACATAAGATTTTTTTTTCAATAGAACACCCTGTATACTTTTATGTCGTTTGATAGCGCTTTCAAAGACAAATATAAATATATGTACCTATATAGCTTGATAGGGTTTTTATGCACGGTTTCGGATTTATTAACGGTTATATTTAGAGTGGCACATTTTTGGATTATTATAGAAAAGTTGAAAATAAATATTTTAAAGTTAAACTTTGCCCAAAGGAAAACATATATCTACTTTGTCAAATAATTGTCAAAAATAAGTTCTTTTGTTGAAATAAAAAATTCATTCGGTTTGTGTTGCGGTGTTGCTAAACTTTGAAAATTGTCGTTGTTTTTTATCTTTCAAAATTGCACATGCTGTGTATTAAATGTGGGATGAAAAGTACTCTTTACGATAACAATACATGGCCAACTTGAAAAAATGTTTGGAATAACTCAATTATTTTTGATTTTAGGGCAATAGTGCAAGGTACTTTTTGGTGACAAAAACAATTGCAATCAAACTAGCAAAAAGTATACAGGATGCTCCATTGAAAAAAGTAAATATTTAAAAATATCTCGAAAACGCGATGCTCAATTGTTTTTCGGTTTTTACCATTTTATTTATCCGAAGAAATGCTACTATTTTGCCAATTTAACCGATTTTGTAACTCTTATAATAAGCGAATTAGCAATAGTGCCGATTTAATTTCAAACACCCTGTGTAATGCCTTGTACGAAAAAAGTTTCTTTGAAAATACTTTTCATTCTACATCTAATATACAGGATGGGCCATTTCAAAAAAAAAATGGAGAAAACGACAATTTTCAAAGTTTGGCAACACCGCAACAGAAACTGAAGAAATTTATTTTTGACAATTAGTTGACAAAGACGATATGTTTACCTTTTGTCAAAGTCCGACGTTAAAATATTTATTTGTATTGTTTCTACAATAATCTACAAATTGGCCGTTACCCGAACATAACTCTAAATAGATCCAAAACCGTGCATAAAAACCCTATCAAACTAAATATATTTATATTTGTCTTTGAAAGCGCTATCAAAAATTATAAAAACATACAGGGTGTTTCATTGAAAAAAAATTAAAGCCAAAGCAAAAAAATAAATTAATGATTTAAACCCTACAACTTTTGTATTTAACTTCTTGTCATAGAATATCTATAAATATTTGCATATGCCGAGACAGGATAAAATAAACGGGCCACACTGTAAAAACAACAAAAATAACAAATACAATTTGATCACAATTCCTAATTTAGGTATTTGGATTTTTCATAACTCACACTGGCGATAGGTGACCCCCTTGCGGTACCCCTAAGCAAGCTCTAATAGAAAACGATTCACAATCGTTAATGGATACAATCTGAGATCTTTCAGATACATAACTTTCTAACCTCTCAAGAAAAATTCCCCATAAGCCATATAGCGACAATTTCTTTAGAATTTGATGGATTACCCTATCAAAGGCCTAGGAGAAATATGTGTAGAGTGCATCCACCAGACAAAGCCTCCGACAAGTACTCAGTATTAGTAAGACTACTAGTAATTTACTAATACTGGACCTCCCACAAAAAAAAAGTGGCTCTAGAAGAGAGATAATTTTATTAGTGATCTGATCAAGAATCTTACCAATATCTATTTTTGAAATATTGAAATTGAAAACAAAACAAGAATTGTTTTCCATTTCTTAGGAAACATTTCAGAGCTTAAAGATTTAGAATAGACTTTTTGCAGAATCGGAGTAAGAATAAATAAATCGACAATCAAATATACAATTAGGTGGGGTACCATCTAGACCTTTACCTAATGTTTTTTTTCAGTTTCTTAATAGCACAATATACATCCATCATCTCTATATCTAAGCAACCCAAACTAAGGTCTGATTGAATATCAGGTTGCTGAGGTGAATAGACCTGATCAAAAATTTGTGATTTCTTGGTGGTTGACGCTTGACAGTCGCCATAACTCATATTATTTGGTGAGAAATTTGTGTTATTTTTATTTTTAGAAAATTTCCATCTGGATTGAGTGTATAGATTTTTGCACTCCTTATCAATACCACAGATTACCTAATACAGATGCGAAAGTACGTATACTTGTCTGTGACGAAGCCGGGCCGCCAGCGCCCCGACGCATAGATAAAGATCGCCCGCGTCAGGACAATTAACGCGGCCAAGTGCGTGAGCATGTTCCAGCCTGTGTGTTCACATATTTTTGCGGGTAGAAAAAAATATTTTTTTGCTGTTTGTGAACCAATTAAAGAAATAATATTATATTATTGAGCTTCCGCATGTATATAATAAATATGTTCAAAATACATTGCGGCATTGGTGCGGCCAGCCTATGTCTATCAAATTAATCTTGAACCACGAATTCGCAGCTCTTTCGCATCTGTATGTAAGTAATCTGTGTCAATACTAGAAAACTTATTGTAAACATCAAGAGAACCACTACTTCAATCATTTTTATGCAACATCTTCTTAATAACTATTAACTCTTTGAGATCACTAGACATCCAGCTCGAAAAGCCAGATATTTTTAGCCCTCTGGATTGGCACAAAGTGATCCATTGCCTTCTGCAACTTATTGTAGAATAAGGGCAGGTTAATTTACCATCTGATAAAAACTCAATCAGTAATCCCATTGGTCGGCTATTTATCCGCTGACCAATAGAATTACAGAATGGTAAATTTGCCTTGCATAGTTACCAGCAATTTTATCTGAAGATGAATAAACTGGGCCTTAATCAACTAGCTAACCAAGAATAAATTGATAGCGTTATAATTAGCATACCTAAAGTTGTAGTAATAAGAATCAAAAGATAGAGAACAGTGCTATTAGATTTGATAACCAACCGTATTTCCAAAGCTGAATGCTTTTGATCAAGTCCTTTAATGGCTCAGCAACTAATTCACACTAACATTTGTGAGATTACTGAAAATCAAATCAAGCATATTATTCGATGTTTTATTATGTTGGGGAAAATTCAAACATGAAAATTAGTCTGCAACATTCAACTTTAGAATCATACCGCCACTCGCTTGACATTCTTTATTTAACCAATTAATTTTTGGAAAGTTGAAATCATCAAAAAGCAGAACATTTTCAAATGTGGACTTTATTGCCAGTCAGAAACAACTACTCCGAGGGCAAATCAATTTTGCTTGGACAGGGAGCTTCAGCCTATGTCCTTCTGATGAGTCCTAACAAGGACGAAACGCGTCAAGGATTGGCCCGGGAATGCGGGGTCCACTACTCAGTGGGTCGATTCCCAAACAGGGACTCTTATGTCCCTGATTTCACGTTGGTGATTACCTGAAAAACCTTTCTAACCATTTTGAAATGTTTTAGTCATTAAAATATTGTCCACAGAAGAGTAGTATTGCCCATATTTTACACATGGTGTCATATACACACATCCAATAAGCATATACATTTTTCCTATCTCAACTTCTACATTTTCAAGTGATTGATCCGGTGGTCAAATCAAAGAATTTAAATATTTTTTTAAGGCAATCATCAGGATGCTTTACAACAATTACGCAAAAATGCATTAATTACTGAAACCCAACAAATCAATATCGAAAGAATCATCCATCCATGTCTCTGTAAACATTAATATAGTCGTAATCATCACTAACTGCTGATTGCTGTAGGTGCAGCATTTATTTTATCTAGGGCAACAAACATTTGGCTAATAAATAGTTAAAGGCTGGCATACTATGTTCCGTAACCTTGCCCCGGTACGTGAAAGGACCTAGTGTGTTGGGAGCCAGGGTAGTTATTCCTAACATCAAAATTGAAATATCTGCTGAGGCCAAAATTCAGGTTGCGCAAGTAGATTTCCGTGCCACGCATCAATACCGGCCTTAAATGATGTGTCATGATCACGTCTTAAGCAATTTTACCACGATCTTTCCGCTCTCCGTTACACCTGTTTTCTGCAACAAATAATCCTCCACCATATCAGCAGATGTATTACTCTGCCAACATAGAACCATTTTATTGAGGGTATCCCAGTTTTTTTGATAGATTCAGTACAGTCACATTTTTATTGATATATTTGTTTGTTGACAGGACATAGACCTCATTTAGTTTCGCATTAAATTCTGCTATCGCTCATGTTAATTTTAATTCATTCTCTTCTAGAGCGGTTATTGCTTCCTCAAGTTTTCGATATCTTCATCGCTATAAGTGCCTATTGAAGTAATTACCTGTATGATTTTTAGAAATCTTCTTTTCTTTTATCAGTATAGTATCTGCCACTTGGTCTGATGTTGACAGACTGTATATATTTAACGATCTTTTGATTTAGAATTAAACGTACTTCTTTGTTGGTATTGGCCTCATTTCCTTTGTAGAACAGTATACTCCCAGAGGCTAGTTGCATTCCTTGCTTTTGTCTTTTTCTTATTTTTGCTAGGGGTATATTATCCCACTGTATGTGGATAGCTCTTCATTTAGTTTATAGATTTTTGTGTCGTCATCCTTAGATCTTATGTTGTATTTTCAATTTTATCCAATGTTTGCCTGTCCAGAATCCTAGAGGCAGAAGATTTTACTGAAGGGTGAATTGACAATAAAAAACCACGCTTGTCAGGCGGGTTGGCGAATTATAATGCAACCGCTCACTCTGGATCAGACACTGTTTCCAGTGCTTATTGTAGATTACTAATAAGGAACCTTATAACTCTATCACTAGCTGAAATAAAATATAATCATTAATAACAAGTTTTCATTACCAGCTCGTTCAAGATGATAATTGACCCATCTAAGTAGTATTGCTTCTGGAGAGAGTTTCATAAGATCATCAATTTTCTCATCTTCGCCCAGCAAAGTGGTCAATCCAGGGCAATGTTCCAATGTAATTTGGTTGAATAAACCAATTCTAATAATTTGCCATAGCAACCCCAGTACCAAATGAGGAGTTCCTTTTTCCAAGCTGTGTGCATCAATGTTTATCACGTTGCATCCAATCCCTATGGCTGAGTTTAGAGCTAGGGTCAAGTTTTCTAATTTTGTGTACAGCGTAAGTTTTCCTTTGTTGATCACGCGTTCATCGATTGTATCTGGACATGAATGGTTGATAATTTTGCTAAAAAAGAAAAACAGCTGTAAAAGGTGTAAGTAGAATTTATAAGTAGTAAAATGTTATTATGTAAGACTATTATTTCAAAGGAAAATTAGCAAAATACTACACACTCGTGTTAGAAATATGCTATACCACTATACGCTTGCGCGCTTGGATCAACATGATCTTTCTGCGACTCTTTTTTCAATTGTTACATGATACTTTGCAGAAAATGATTTCTGACGAGTAAAACACTATACTTTTTCTATGACCATGTTTTGCTATACAGTTCACCTAAATGTTTTTTTCAGAAAGGTTGCTACTTGGTTTCATAGATGGCGCTTGAAAATGTAAATCAAGTTTTCGTTTTTGCCATAATTTTTTTTTAGGAGCTCTTGAAACATATTAAAAGGAAAAAAGTTCTATAGGATATTTACCCTATATTTAGGATGACGTCACATTTAGTAAATTTCTGCTGCTAATGTAACAAAACTAAAAGTACTTTGAAACGCATTTAAATTAGGGGAATTTCAGATGTTTTTGGTTCACAACGGCGCGCGACGGGGCAAGATTTATACAGGGTGCGTCTTTTAAAAATTACAATGGCGAATAGTAATTTAATTATTTCAAGCTTTTTAAGTTGAAGGGACAGCTCTAGAGGATGGAACAGTGGGTGGTTGGGTTTAATTTACCCATAAATTAACATTATGCAAAAAATTACAAGTTTTGCGGTACTTTTTTTATTCAAACAGAAAATCTCTTTTTCCAATTTTGAGGAAAAGTTTGATTCTACCATTTTTTTTCTACCAGTCTTTTGCATTTTTTATAAGCTTTCCAAAGAGGTGCCTACAAGTGAGTTGTTGTCATTTAAGATTCTAAAGTGAAGGGTGGTGAAGCTCAAGGGGTGAGTCGGGGTAGTTTGAAAAATACGTCAAATGAATTCCCCCTTTTACATTGAACTAAACAAACACTCTGGAACGGGCGCACTGCGTTATGCTAATGAGGCATATTTTGATATATGCAACCCAGCAATACGGAGGGATTATTGTCTCCCTCGCACTCATTGCGATTAATGTGAAAGAAAGAAGAGCTTCTTTGTCTTCCTAAGCCCAATGATCCATACACTTTAAACAGCTGTTCTCAATAGCTCCCATAGTACATAGAGAGATGCAAATGCCTCTTGGTTGTTGTCCTTCCTGACACAAACCCTTGCGTAGAAACAATTATGCAGCCACCGTTCCAGTGTGTTTGTTTAGTTCATTGCCCTTTCATATCTCTCTTCGTTTAGAAAATATAGTCATTGTAAGTTTTAGAAGACACACTCTATATAAATATTTCCAAATAACGCATGTCGATTCATTTCGTTATTTTTAGCTGTGAGCGGTCTTGATAATTTATTATTAACTATTTAGTAGAATCCTAATGAAGTGACAAAAATACGTTATAGTTGAAAAAAAGTTCTTTTAGGAACTCGGTACTTTTGCGTAGCGTGAACTAACTCCAGAAAATGCCTAAAGGTTTGTCGAGTGGGTCTCAGGAAATGGTAGCATAATTAATATCGTATTTCGAGCAGGTACGCGATAATGAAGGACCATTTTTGCCTCTTACTGCTGTGAGGGATGTAAGTAAATTACATATTTTCCGTTTCGTTCGAAAGAATTGCCATATGACATTCTGGTAAATTAAAAGAAAAAAATTGACACGTCAACATTCTCTGTCCTTGTTTTATGACGTCATCCTAAATATTACGTTAATAACCTTCAGCGACTTTTGGAGTAGCTGGTACATGCCAAACTGACGAACTATTTAATCTAAAAGTGAAGGATGTGGAGTAAGAAAAATTATGTTATGTTAGTGCAGATTATTACTAGAAAAAATAAGGTGCGAAGAAGATTTGCAGTAACAGAAAATTGGGTAAAATTTGGTAATCGTTAAATGCTACAACGACCAAAAAAGTCTCAAGATGAACGTTTCTTTTATCGGTATGAGGGCGGCAGATGTGTAACTCAGGTGCTTGGAAAGAACACAATTGAAAAAATTCCGTAAGACATTCCGGCCAAATTTCAAACCCAAATCAGTACACCGGTCACTTGTTCCGAAGAACCTTCTCTATATTACTAGCAAATGCCCCAGGTGTGGACATTTCAGACATGAAAAGGCACAGGGGGTGGAAGTCGTCTTTCGAACAAGATTTCAATGAGAGTTTCGGGACTGGAGGTGTGTGGTTGCAATAGGATAGTGTGACTTCGCCCACATCTAGAAAGACAATGACCATTTTGGAAGACCTGACTAAGATTGAAATCTCGATTTGGCATGGCATTGCAGGTCCCCAAAACTTTCAGCTCCCAATGTCCATTTATGGGATTATCTTGAATGACAAGTGTACCCTAATAATCAACAAAATCCCGAATCAGCTAAAAAAGTACATTCGGCGAGAAATATATCCAAGCCTAGAAATCTAGAGTTATGGAAAATTTCATGGAAAGAGCACAGCCGTACACCACTGTTGGAGGCAGTCATTGAAATTGAATAGATGCTATCTTTAAGCAGTACTAGGATTAAGACTTTAAATCCTAAGAAACGTTTGAGTAGTTTTCTATTGTTATTCTTACTCATGTTGAGTTACAAAATGGCGGAAACTTTAAATCGGGTACTTCATCAGGGGGTCAATTCTTGAATATTCTTGCAAACGAACGTTAATTCGAATGACAACAACGTAAATTGAATAGGGAACGAATCATATCAATTTCCGTATGCGAGATTATTTAAGAATTGGGTACCAGGGCCCCTGAACCTCCGATGTCTCGAAATTTCAAATATATTATGAAACAAAAACTTGCGCAAATGATAACGAAAAATTACGTATTTCCGGTATTTATTGGATGATGTAGTATAATATTATGGAAAAGGTATCCTCCCATACCTACTAAAATACATATATATATACAAGATAAAATTAGTTCATTTGATCATCTATTTGGAATTAACCTTTAAAAATTTCAAATTAATTTATCAATCATAATGACAATATCGTGGCTTGGACAAGTTAATCCCCAATAATCAAATGCGTTTCGTGTTTATCTCAAGCTCCAGATATAAAATTTTATCGATATCTTAAAATAGCTATAGACAATAGAAACTTTCGAATCAGGTGATTGAGATGTAGCTATCAGCTATAATACAATAAATAGATCTTACCATAAAAGAATTCCATCTTTTACTTTTTCATACAATTGTTTACCCTCTGGATCGATGGGTAACAATTTCTTCAAATCTGGATCATGTTGAAGATTGGAATTGATCCAATCTGAAAAGGCAAGCTGTTCTTCTAGCCTTACAGAATGTGTGGTCCCGTCATTTGAAGCATGAGAAGTGCCGCCCAAATGTTGAAGGTTTTCCCTTTTTGATACGGCTGTTCTAAAAGTGTTAGCCACATCATTTGCTCTTAAATCACAGAGAAGCTTAATGAATTCATCGTAAGTTAACTTTCCGTTAATCTTCGTCTTGTTGGAATTTTTATATTCTTCTTCTATCAATCTTGACTGGTATCCAGCAATTTTTAGACCGCATATTTCCAGTGCTTCTCTCAGTTCTTTTAAGTCGATATGTCCATCATTATTTTTGTCAATCTGAAAACATAAAAAATAAATTCAAATGTATGGCCATACATACAATTATAAATACATATTGTATGCTGCATTCATTGCAGCTTGATAAAACATCTTATTAAAGCATTGTAACCAAGTTGTTTAGTGGTTAAATATCCAGCCATAAGCCATAACATAGGTACTTCAAGTGAAATGAAATGTTACAATATTAGATTCAAGGGTGAAGTTTCTAGAATATATATCGCAATAAGTATTTAATGTCTAGTTCAGGGTGTAAGTTATTATGATTTTGAAGATCGAACATTATTGGGATTCTTCTAAACCACTCTCATCGTTTTGAAATACTGGCTTTTACCTAAATTAGATTGAAATTTTGAAATAGTAGTACACGTCTCACAGTGAAGAGAATAGTTAAAGGACTGGGGTAAAACACATAGTCTATCTTCACTCTTTATTTTATAAAAAATATAATCAGTTGGGGGAATGAACATGTTTCGGATCTATCATAGATCCATCCGCAGCATAAATTCAAATGGTAGAGAATATGGTCACATACGATATGCCTCAGCATTAATGGTTACATAAAAGTGTTCATGCTGTATTCAATATAAGGTTTCTCAGGACGCATCCAACATAAAACATAAAATTAGAGAACAAAAGGAGAAGATCGAAAAAAAAAATTATCTTATTATAAACATTAGAAAAATTAAAAAAATAGATTGGACAGCCACACAAACAAGAAATATGCCTATAGGCCTATTTAGTTATGTTGAATACAGCGTGAACACTTTCTTATAACCATTAATGCTTAGGCATACCGTTTGTGACCATATTCCCCTCTACCATTGGAATTTATGCTGATGATGGATCTATGATAGATCCGAAACATGTTCAACTCATTATATTTTTTATAAAATAAAGAGTGAAGATAGTGTGTGTTTTACTTCAGTTTTTTAAATTAGATTATTTTCAAACCAACGGAAACGTGTAACGACGACCCAATTGATTTTTATTCAGGAAAGTACACCTAATACCGAGCCTAATACAAATACAATCCCTCAATATTTGGATTTTGTCTCTAATCTCTGTCTCTAGCACAATAGAAGGATTTTTCTGATTGTCACGCTATTGCTTGCCAAGTTGCTACAAAAGTCAAAAATACTTTTTTAGGATTCAAAAAGTTTCACATTTCTATCAGCATTTTTGGACCATGGAAAAAACCCATTTCATGAATGTATATTATGAAACTCACCTTTTTGTAATTGAAAAAGCAATAAAACTATCATGAAAGATTTATAACAAAAGTGTTCATCTAAAAATAAATATTGGCCCTAAACCCACTACTAGTAAACCATTTTTCGTACATTTTTGCAAATATGTTGAAATAATAAGGACATGAAGTTATCGATAATTTTCCCAAATTAGATACATACATAAAAAGAACCTTGTTATCAACAGGTAGATAATCCTTTATAAGTAGGTATTCACTATTACGATACTCTTGAAAATGTTGAAAAAAATATAGCTTAGGAAGCATTAAAGCATTGATGATGAAATAATAAATATTAAATAGATCAACTTTCATAGAGGTCTATAAACCTAGCAGTCCCATGGTAGGTGCTAATTAGGGCCTCTTATCAAAAATTAGGTGCTGCTTTAGTTTTTAAGAAAATAAAAAAAAAACTGAAGGGACTGCCAAGTTTAAAATATATTTTTTTTAAATTCCTCTTTTGTATCAGAATCAGGTGCTTTTTAGGTGCTTCTAAATAGTCAAAGAAAAAATTGAATCAGTCAATTATTAACTGAATTGGGTACAGATTTTTTTTCAATACTTATCTGGGTATTGCTGGCTTCACGTTTACTTGTTGGTGTGCCAGAGGCTGAAATGTTTAGGGATAGGAATTAGGTGCTATTCAAGTGCTCCTAAATAGTCGAAGACGAACCTGAATCAGTTAATCATTAACTGAATTACAGATTTTTTTTAATTTTTTTTATTTTTTCATTATTAGGGGACTCCTGGCTTTACGTTTACTCGAGGTGTATTTGCAACGAATCTGATGACAGTAGCTAAAATGTTGTATTGGAATTAGGTGATATTTAAGTATTCCTAAATAGTCGAAGAAGAAATTGGATCAGATAATCATTAACTGAATTACAGATTTTTTTTTCAATATTAGGAGATTGTTGACTTCACGTTTACTTGGTGGTGCGTCGGAGGTTGAAATGTTTCTGGATAGGAATTAGGTGCTATTTAAGTGCTCCTAGTCGAAGCAAAACTTGAATCAGTTAATTATTAACTGAATTACAGATTTTTTTCATTATTAGGGGACTGCTGGCTTTAAGTTTACTTGGGGGTGTATTTGCAGCAAATCTGATGACAGTGGCTATACCTATAGTCCGTTCATAAAGTTTACAGACTTTATCAAGTGCGTGATTTGAGATTTTGGACGCTGATTAGACAAAATTAGGGGGTCGACTTGGGCGACCAGCGCTCAATCTAAACGATTAACATAAGGCCCTAATGAGGCACCAAAATCTTGCCAATCAGCGTCGACCATCTCCGCTCAAGCATTTCTTCTCAGTCTACATACTTTATGAACAGACTTTATAGGAAAACATGATAATACAAAGAAATACATAAACAAACATAGAGAATACATAGGGAATACATAGAAATACATGACAATACACAGGAATACATATGAGCTGCTAGCTTTCATAAACCTAACAGTCCCTTCGTTGTTTTTCTCAAAAATTAAAAGAGCACCTAATTTTTAATTAAAACCCCTAATTAACACCAAAAAGGCACCTAATTATTATATAGACCCTAGACCCCAAAAAATTTTTCCACTATGGGACTGCTACATTTGTAGATATTTTTCATAGACTGTACTTAATTTGTGGCATTAAAATTGTTGTACTGGCATTGATTTTAATTTGAAACCCAGAGAAATTTTGATTTGACTATGAATTATTGGATGTAGGTTTCATCTGACACAGTCTTGAACAGGTAGGTAACTGGGTTCGTTGGACTTTCGGAAGATAGGTATATCTAAATCCTAATGAAATGGAGGATTCTTTTGTAGAAGAGCTCTATTCTCAGTTTTCCTCAGAAAAAAAAAGAAGTTCAATATGCTGATTATATAAGACTTCTTCTTATTGAAGCGCCATGTTTTTGCTGTTTCATTATTTATAATTTAGCCCACACTTAGCATTCTGTGAAATCTAAATTGTTTAGCTAGGATCAGTTCTTCTCTAGCTTCTATTTGATAATATTAATTTTGGCTTAAATTTTCGTAAGTTATTATGAAATCTAATAATTATTTAAACTGCTTCATGGATATTCAAGAATATCGCAACTATTTAGCCTCTGCATTTCTGTTCTGTGAGAATTATGCCCATTGTCTCAAGGAAACTATTAAAAATATTTGTGTTAATTAGGTTAATACCTTAGTTATGGAACTTCTAATCTTATGAATGGAATTCCCACGACTTAAGTAAATGTACTATATAAGTATATCTTTATACAATATTGGACCCAGCAAACCTTGTCAGGTGATTCCTTTGTTAAAACCTATGAAAAGTTCCATCTACTTCAGGTTTCAAAATACCTTTTTACCAAGATTTTACCAGGGAATCAGTTTTATAATTCTATAATATTTTCAATTGAAGTCTTCAGTTTTGAAAAAAATCCATTTAATTTTGTGCACTCGTTATACAATTTCAAATATAGGGAATAATCAAATTGGGTTGCCTAGTGATGCTTCATATTGAAATTAGTGTATGAAATCGCCTCGGAAATCGCTCAGAGCCAAATTATTTCTTCTTTGACAAAATAATTAATTTGGGCGAAATATCGGGAGCAATTATAAATTCCTAACATATTTGTACCTGTGTCAGCTATCTTAACTGCAAATTATAAAGGTTATTTTACCAAACCTGTCGAAAGAAGTCATCACAAAAAAAGAACTAGCTGGGGCCCTGATCCTTGACAGAGGTGGCCCCTCCATTCCATAGAGAAGTTGTTTTGTCTACCACTTCGTAATGGAGAATCACAAGCCAGTGTCCTCTTAATGATATGATGTGAACAGGATTTGGTGTCAAATATCAAAAATCTGTCACATTTTTGCCAAATGCATATGTATAGCCTCCACGCTCCACGTAATTAAAAACAACATGCGAATATGCATTAGTACTCAAAACCAACGTTCCCGAACGTTACAAATAGTATATCAATAAGTGTCACAATTTAATTTGCATTGAATTATAGGCAGATGTTTATAAGATAAATAAGTAATTTAATTTCGTCAATAAAATTTCAGAAAAATCAATTTTTATGACTGATAAGTTTTGAAAGATTACGACCAGTCCATATAAGGTAATTTTATGATTGTGACTACAAACGGTACCTATATAGGTATGATGTCAGGGTATGACTATGTGCCTTTCATTGGGAAATAGATAATATAAAAATGTTATCTCTGTACTCATTGAAAAAACATATCGACATTCAAATACACTTACACATCGAAGCCCGCAAAACCTGTGAAACCAAAACTAATGCACAGTCATCATCAATCTATGCAAATAAAGATGATTAATTGCCATATAGAATGCACAGTTTGAGTTTGGGCAGCCGAACTTTAGAAAATTTCTATAAGTATTTTTCTTCAAGTAAATGTATTGCTGACCTTTAAATAATAAATACATTAACTGATAACAAGGTCTAGATCTTAAAATATTTAAAGACTATAAAGTATAGGTGATAGCAAATAATTTTCCGAATTTAAGATATTTCAATCACATAATGTGCAGCTTTGATTCTCAATTCAATGAATACCTACAAAAATTAATGAAGAAAAATTCCTCAAGTAGTTTAATAGATTAATATACGGTTTTTTTACATGAGTAGTATTTGTTATCTCTTCAGGCAACAGATTGTAGACTTGAATGCTTCTGAAATAGGAGAGTCCTGTGCTTTGTTAGTCCTGGCATAGTCATTTCGATAATTTAGCTTCCTG